ATATATATATATATATGGTCAAAAAATGTCATTTCTGATCTCTTTTTGGAAAATAACATTGCAATAGTTCAAATAGCAACATGCATATTTTGAACAATTTGAGGCCAAAACTAGGTGTCCATGACCAATGGTTATAGAGGTATAGACATGCTATAGGGTCCTTTGTGTTAAAGGTCAAAAATGTCATTTCCGGTCTCTTTTAGAAAAAATGTTGCATTAGTGCAAATAGAGATATATATGTTCCGAACAAATTGAGGCTAAACTTAGGTCTCTGTGGCCAACCGTTTTTTGAGATATGGATGATCTTGGATATCTAGGGTCAAAGGTTAGAAATGTTTTCCTGGTCACTTTTGGGCAAAATTTTACATTAGAGCAAATAGAAACATGCATCTTCTGAACATTTGCCGAAACTAGGTCTCTATGACTAACAGTTTTGGAGATATGGATATGCTGGTTCATGTAGGCTCAAAGGTCAAAAATGAAATTTCCGATCACTTTTTGACAAAATGCTACATTAGAACAAAGAGCAACATGTATGTTCCCAACAATTTGAGACCAAAAATAAGTCATTACGATTTTCCATTGCCAAGATATATGGATCCCGTCTTTTAGAGGCGGTCATTTTAAATTTAAAATGGCGGCCATAGCAGGCGTCAGAAACTTGGCACACATTTTTTGTTTAATTCACACATATTAAAGATATTTTGTGCCAAGTTTCATGCTTTGGTAATAAAGTGCACAACTTGGTAAAATGGAAATTTTTACATTTGTAGGTGAAATGTTACTACATTTGTTGTTAAACAGATTTTTACATTTGTGGGAGATTTATTTTTATATTTGTGGTTATTTTTACATTAATTGTGGTTGACATGTTATGATATTTGCGGTTATTTTGACATTTGCAGGTAGAATGTTTTGACATTTGTGGTTATTTTTACATTTGTGGTAGATTTTTACATTTGTGGGCTCTACAGACCGTCGTACGACGCGGTGAGTGTCCGGCAATGCATTCATTTTAATTTACCCTTATACCAGATACCTTTATGTACTGTACACCCTTACAAATATATACAAATGTTGATTCCCAAACGTGGTCTGGAAACGTTTCCATTATTCAAATTGATTTATGTCGTATGTGCAAACTGTGTACTTTTTACTGGCTCACTATTACAAAAGCCATAGCAGTATATAAACACTTTTTGAAAATTATCATATTTTATGTATATTGTCAGCGATTGGAAACAGGAAGTGTTTTTTTATGTTTATTTTGCTTGGATAGTCTATAGTTTCATCTC